CAATACTCCCAGCTCCAAATATAGAAATTTTGCATGATTAGATCCAGTAGGAAAGGAGTTACGGCTGAAAAGTACGGCTGGAGAACCATTTCACCGAAGACTTTTGAGCGCTACTGTAAATTTCTTCTCTCTTCCAAACTTACTTCACCACAGAACGCCTTCTTGATTGATAAGACAGAGATAAAATCAAAACTAGGCGTGTACCTGTTTATGCAACGTAATCGCCAGCAGCAAGGCATACTCAACATTCGATCCTGACGGCCCATCACATTGAACTATCTAAAGGAAAGCGATTCGAATTAGACCATCGTGTGACTCAAAAAAGGAAGACGATTAAAAGATTCAATAATACTCGAACGACGAAGAAAACAGTACAGTTTGACAAATATCTTCCAGCTCGCTGGGTCCCGTATGGTGTTCTTCATCTCCGTATGACATATAAGCCTAGAATTACAATTACCAAAAAATCTAAATCTAAATAAAGTTCTATACTAATATACATAAACCATGCAGACTACTCAAAGCTCAAACCCAGTTTTGCTGTTTAGCAGGCTGAGAGAAATGAATTACCTCCACATCAAATGGTTTAAGGGAGGCATCATCTGGTATGAACGTCATTTTCTTCAACTAAAAAAAGGTGATGCACACTATAGCAATCAAAAACAATTCCACAAACTAACAACAAAGCGTCAGTATACTTCACTTACCGAGTATCCCGCCTTCTCCCGAAAATCCAAATACTTACGGGTCGCAACTACGTTTTCATCAGCTACTTTGAAAGCTATTCCCCAGCAGACAAACTTAAACACAAGGCTATTTACCAGCTTCACAGATAATTTGTAAAAATTCACATCATTGCAGACTGCAAAAGAAATCAACCTTCTCATCCGGAACCAGGGTGACAGTACGGCCGGGCTGAAAGTACTGGCTTAAGCGCATTACCTCGGGATTTATAATGCGAAGCGTCAAAGAGACGTTTTCCTTCAACTATATTCAGGGAATTTGTCTTCAATCCAAATCGATGATTTTACCTTTTCGGGAGTTCCACGATGATCAGGACTTTTTTGCCAGAACCTTCGTGCATAGCCCTTTACGACACCTGGAACTTGCTGAAACAACGTTTTTAGGAACGATCCGCAGGGCATTTTGTAAAACTCAACTATCTAGAAATTGGTGTGAAATTTGAACGTGAGCTCTTACTTCAACAATAGAATAAAGCCCCCATCGAGGCAAAGAAACACACCTGTACAAAGGCAAAATTTGGATTCCATAGCAGTGATCCATATCCAAAAATCCACATGCCACGACTACCCGTAAGCTATGGGATTTCTACGGGAATCCTATTTAATCACCAAAAATGACTTAAGCAAAAACGACTTCTCAGAAATTCCAAGTATATCATAAGATAGCAAAGTATTGAGTGGAGATTATTTACAATTCAGACCGAAACTACTCAGAGAACTGATTCAAAATTTATCAAAATAACAAAAAAGGTACAAAGGCTATAAAATCTATAGAGTTCACAACCGGTACTAATGTAAGCATTGAACGGACAACCTAATTATTAGCGAAAACAATAACGTAAGCACATTCACAACGCTATTCTTCAGGATCCGCATCACACGGTGTATATACAGCAAATCTATTTCTAACTATGGTAGCAACCACTGTTGCAATCATTTGCGTGGTCGCCATTGCTCCCATTCCAGAATCGCCACACATGAGCTCCTTTTCCATGGGAGGAATTTCCTGAAGGTTCAAAGAAACGGCTCTCTCGAATAATTCTTTTATAAATAATATTACAAAATAAGAGAAAATTGCTAATGTGAGCATGATCGAATTTCATATTTCCGAGGTTGAAGGACACAGAAAGCGAGGATAGTTCAAAAGGAAGGCCAGAAAAAAAGAAGAAGGAAAATGACTCCCAAAGAAAGAAGAACAAAGAGAAAGGAAAATCATGTCTGGAAGTTCTGCGAACTCGTTGTCGACATCTTACCTTATATCTTAAGAGATCTTTGAGAGTATTCCTGTGCTGAAAGGTTAAGGGGCTCTCCCACATCATTGTGTTCATTGCAGGGGCAAAATAAAGTGGTTTTCTCGGATCCCAGGCTCGAACCTATCAAGAAATAACGTTTTACGGAAGAATTGTGGGTTTTTCGATGTATAAAGAGAAAGAACTTACAATTGATGTAACTAAATTATCACAAAGTCCAATAGCTATTTTGGCTAGACTGTTGGCATCTAAAGGAGCGATCAGCATAGCATCCGCCCACTTCCTCAATTCTGAAAAAAAAAAACATTTGTGCAATAGATTATAAATTCGAAGTAAGCGATATTCAATATAGAAAGAAGAAAAAGAGTAAGAGAAAATTTTGTTAACATTCAGAACAGATATAGTTTTGTACGTTTGTCTGGATTCGAGGGGCCATTAATTACCTAGGATCTACTCGTGGAGCACAACAAATTAGTATTCTAAATAACCGAAAATGCTTCTGAAATCCAGAGCAATGAAGATACAAATTCTGTTAACGACGGCCTTAAACAATTAATTGTAAATGCCTCCGCTCCCAGCTCTCTGAAGGGACTTGCCCGTCCCCCAGACCAATTTGAGCATTGGAGAGCTCTAAGTGATGTTCTGGCCTATAGTTTCGCCATTCCAACAAACTGGCTCAGAAAAATTCAAAGAGAAGGACAGAAAGCATGGTATTACCGGGTGAGATTCGATTCAGCCCTAAAAATAGTTTTTATTGATTGGAAAGCAAACAAATTCCATGTAAACGGATTGAAAACCTGAACAAAGGCACCAAAAGAGGGACTCAGGCAGTGTGGTGCTCAGATTGCTCTTGCTACACGCCCACAAATAACTACATTAAACTTGATCTACTGAGAGCCTTAATTATGCAGAGAACGACTCCAATCCTTATAACTAGGTGGAAAGCAATAAAGTAGAAGTAAAGCAATAAAGTAGAGGTAAAAGTCCCACCAATATGTAAGACAGCATCGCCACGACCTCTCCACATTGACCATTCGTCTCGATCATCATATATTACCTCATCAATTTCAAAATCTTGAGTGTCTAGAAGCGTGAGAGCAGATTTAGTGGCTGCTATCTGGAAACGAGAAATAACAAATATCCAGTATGAATTAGAAAAATAATCATATTCTCGAAAAGCTCCTTGAAAAAAGAAATGATATTCAGAAGGATAGGAGACAAAGATTCGACGAACCTTGATTACAAGTTTGTTTTCAGGACAAGCATCATATAATTTTTGTATAAGTTCGTGAAGTTTTATAACAGCTACACTGCCAGTAACACCAATAAGCAGATGGAATTTTCCACCGGACCTTTGGATGACGTGTGATCTCGTAAATGGTGGGCGCCGACCATAACCCTAAACGATGTAAATGTTATTAACGGACGTATTTCATGGAGGTTTTTACAGAATTCCGATTAACTGAACAATGTTAAGCAGTTCGTTCGGAAAGTGTCGGGCATACAAGTTCTAGTACGAGATCGGATGAGAGGCATTTAAAAACCATGCTTAATAGTACGGAAGCGAGATTATGACAAAGAAAAAACTCACACCTCGACTGAGCCGTCCTCCTCATTCTCATCGCTCAAGTTCCGCCTTTTTTTCGAGCTTGGCTCTTCAACCTAGAATGATATTAGTTTACCTAAAAGAACTCTCCACAACAAGGTCAACAACACCATCGCCGGTTGATGAAAGTTTAGAAATGAAAGCAAACCATAGGCTATACTAATAAAATAATTGAAATATATCTAACGTACAGAGCCATTGTTTTCTCCTTGGTGACCATCGGATGGCGTTGAAGAACCCTGTTCTGCATTCGAACTCATAATGGTTGAGTTCACTGCAATTTGTATATTACCAAACAAGATTGATCTTTCGATAACTGAACGCGGAAAAAAACGCAAGTAGTAAATTTAACAGCGTGAATCGGTTTTCGGGTAATACGTCAGCGAAATATTCTGGTACGGCTCATTAAAGATAAGAGAGTAATAAAATGGAAAAAAAAGTCGAACCACCAAGAATCAAAGCATTAATGACAGGATCTGTAAAACATACAGTTTGTGAAGTAAATGAAATAACAAAAACATTCACTCAGGGTCATAATCTTCAGCCCCAGCCTTGACTTTTTATGTAAACCTGTCGAGCTCGGCTTACGCTGGGCCTCATTCCCTATTTTTACCAAGTACCTAGAAACTGTTAGAGGGGGTGGGGTGGCATGCTTTTATCCAACACTGAATGAGGGCTAGAGTGCAGAGGTAGCTGACTTGCACTTAGAAATGGTTCTAGGCGAAAGAATATGCTTTCAAGCTAAGCCTCAGTAGGGGAGAAACGGCGGAGTGTGGGTGGGATGATAACATCACGCAAAAAGGTAGGATGAGGTATGAGTTGAATAGTCAATTGGCTCACCCACCTCGGGTACCCTTTCCCTCTTGAAACTCAGATCAAAAAACTGTATGTTCTCGGCCAAGGAACGTTAATGAGCACAATTACGGGCTAACCTCCTTAAGTTGAAAGTATGTTTCAAAAGCAGAGGTCTCCCAACTACATCATACACGGTTTTTGTGAGACATACATAGCACGGTACAGATCGAATCACAGTTTTGAAGTACTTGCTTCACTCCACATCCCTCAATTCACTTCGCAGTTCTCACTTTGCTCCATCAACCTACCCACCAAGTTACTGCCTTATAAATAGGAGGGAGAGTAGAATAGAGCTAGGTTTTCTATATCACTACCTTTATCGTAATCATAGGTTTTGTAGACGACAGATCGACACACTGACAAACCGACAAACTTACAAACCGACACACCAATGCTCTGCTATATAAATGAGAGAGATAACTTCATTCAAACAAACGTAGAAATAGCAAGAGCGTGTTCGACAAATTCGTTGCGAGATGTCTTTCACAAGATATGAGCCTTGGGGGGAGGAGGGAGGGCGAGAAACCTCCTCACCAATGGTAAGAATCCTTGTCGATCACTTTTTCGAAGAACTTTGAGATTTAGAAAACCGCTACAAATAGTCATGCACACAATAATCATAGATGAACTATTCAAGGACTACAAGTAGGTCCAATGAAGGTGGAAGGATGGGGTCTCTCGCGCGACCCCTATCTTCCGGAGCAAGTGGACAATTATTAAGATATAAAAAATCGCTGAACTTCTGAAGAGCAACACTACTTTTGGAGAAACCCCCAAAACCGAACATCAACAATCACCATTTAATGTTTGGATACGCGCAGAAAAACTTTGCACAATCAACNGGGGGGGGGGGGGAGGACCGATTGAAATGTGAAATTAGCACTCGGAGGAGAAAAGCACCTCTTTACGTCCACATTCAATGGGGAAGAAAGATCAAGTGTCTAATTTAATTAGTTTATAGTCTCGGGATACGAACGGCATAAACTCCCAGTCAGAATCTCACGGGTATTTAGATCGTTGCTGGGAATTTCACTTCATATGTGATCACATATACATACGTAGCTTGAGAAAAATTGCAAAGAGCAGGAGGAAAACTGTCGAACAACGCTTACTTGAACTTCATCTTATATCAAGCCGGAATATAGCAAAAGTTTGAGTTTTGGTTTTAATGAAATTAGCAGTCACCGAGACCCAAAAATAGGTAGCGTGGCTCTCAACACTCAGAAACAGCTATTTTAGCGATGGTAATAATGTTTATTCAAATTCTAAGAAATAGGAACACCATTCACAAGGAGAGAATAATTCACAAAACACATTTTACTCTAAATCCTAACATACAAACCAAAGTGCTCTTTTTTAATGATAAAAAACCGGCTGCAATTGAAAAATATGCAGAAAATCCGGTGACGCAGATTCATCAATCACCGACCAATTATTTGCAAGGAGTGAGGACTTGTATGGAAACACGCTAAAATGCTGATGTATGAAAGGAGCGCTCACATTTAGTTGGAAGGATTCAGTTGGTCAAGGTACAAAAGAAGCACATTCTATTCCAAAATAGATATTCTACAAATTAAACCAAATTAGTGAAACAATTCCAGTGTGAATACGTACAATTCACAATAAGGACGCAATTGTGCCAAAGTGCGGTGCTTAAATAAGACGGTAAACATGTAAATATATGACGAGAACAGCAGTTAAAACTGCAAAATAACAACAGCGTATTTAGTTGGGGACGCACATCCTTTCTTTTTCAATGTGGGAACAAGATTAGGGACTGCAATATAAGGGATGGTAACAATTGACACAGAAAAAATGTTACAAAAAGAAACAGCACCCGCGCGTCCGATACAAAAACAAATTAGGAAAAAAAAAAGGTGACATGAAACATTGTACTCTGCATCATGAATCAACGGAGCAAAATCTCGAAAACTTATTGAATTACAAGCGAAACGAGTGCTGACAAGCTCTTAACGATCAGGGAGCTTTCCGGGTGATCAAAGGATCGATCGCAGACATAACAATCGACTTGCCCGCTAATCGTGTTTGATTCCTTTCTCCGTTAAAACCTTAATTGAAGCCATCAGACATATACGTAAAGGATGGGATAACTCGATTTATCCAGAGCCTCATTGAATGGGAGTGTTGATGTAATGATAGGGCTCGATGAATTAAAACCAAATCGGAAACACCTCTAGAAGCTCTTGATTATACATTCTACTCAGTAAGTTTACGAATATGGAGCAAAATTACTTAACAACTGAAAAAATAGGATAGTTTTCAACATGCATAGCAATTCCTAAGTTAGCGCGAGCCCTTTCGAAGTAAAACACCTACTTGTAGTGTAGTGTAGAAGGCTTGTATTCATATAACTAACTCAAGCCGGTCGACCTCGGTTCAATATGATCGAGGGCTCGTTAGCAATGAATGAGACATTGTTTAAGACAACTGCCTAGTTTCAGGTAGCAAATATCAACAATACCATCTGAAAACACTGCAGAGCCGAAGAAACTTACATTCCCAGCAACTTTTGGACATCATATGCGTTTGCGGTTTTTGCTCTTTCACGGATTGACAGAAATAAACGCGATCACACTTTCAATCAGCATTTGGGATGTACATATGAAAGAGCATTTGGAAGGATAAGGCCGTATTTATGCCTGATACTTCAGACGACGATGGGGCCAAAATCAAACAGAGCCGAATGAAATTATTGTAACTTGTTAATTACGGTTTTTGGATCATTGAGATTTTATGCAATAAGAAGATCTATAGAAAAAGCAAGGTGGATACCAAAGGCAACGTCTGAAGTCATTGTCGCCACAGCCCACATTTCTGCTAAAATAAGAAAATGAGAAAACCCAAAAACCCTACCTGATCAGCGAGTGAACGTAACATATGGGCCGGACCATTTCCAGGGGCCAAATTCCGTTGTGTCAACTCTCGTAGAATAAATTCAATGCTCATTTCATCATTTTCACTCCATCCTGGTTTTGAGGTCTCCTCTGCTATCACATCTGCAAATGTTCCAATCATTTTGTTTGCCCATCCATCACTATGGAAATCATATATGAAAATTACCATTAATTGCTGCCAGCATCTGTGCCTTCCATATTTGTTCGGAGGCAACTTTTTCCTTATCAATTGACGGCGCAGCTTCGAAGCAAACCACAATCATTGTCATGTTATCTCGAGATCCCTTACTTAAGCAAGCGTCAAGCACCTGGAAAACGAAAAAACGTATGTGAGAACAAGTATTCAAAGCAGATTCGAAACGAAAACTGTGCAAATACATGATATACGGATTCTATGATGTGCAAAATTTAACCTGTTCACAAATGACAAATCTTTTCCAAAACTCAGAAAAGGTAAAAACAAGAGTGCGATGTTAATTGTAGGTGAAGAGCAATTGGTGAAGAGCAACCCTTCAGCCATTTCACATATAAACACAAATAAACAAATAAATAAAACATTTAGCAAAGTATTGGCAACTCACATCGTTGCAAACCTGATTTAGATCATCACAGACATGAAGACGACTTTCCACAAATCGGCAAAGCTCTTCGTTTTCCATCACATCGTAGATTCCATCGCAGGCGACTACCAGAAATTCATCTTTGTCCTATAAGACTGATTTCAACTGTCTTAGTGAAGCCCTCTCCCTTTCTATGATTGCAACTTAAACCATTCCCTAAGCAAAAAATGATCTTAATCTGTCCAAAAAATATAAAGTAAAAATATGTACGCTGATAGATAAAATTCTCCAGGAAAACAGTCAAAACATTGCTCTTATAAGGAGACCAACGAGAGATCATTGAAAGCAGTTAGTTAAGAAGAGTAAGAGGATCAATTCTATAAAAAAAAACAGTAGAAAAGATTCGGTCATCTTATTCAGTGCATACTCGAAGAATTGAAGAGTAAGGGATATGCTTCTCGAGCTCCTAAAACTTCTGCTTCAATTTCAACTGCTGAGCTCTCCAATGGAAGAGAACAACTTTAACTTCAGAAGCGAAAGTTTTCCCTTGTCTCCTTTGTCAGAGTCCTGATTATTAGACCCAGGAAAGTCTAATTCTACACATCCAAAGCACCGACGAAGGGGAAACCGTTGAGTTGGCTGAACAAACTGTGCTATCTTGCTCAGGGCTTCACAGCCACACCTCAGACATCGATACAGTATGCCAAGATTCACTAAAAATTGTACATGGTATATTCTTAAAACTTTAAAACATGAGAAGTTCAAAAAGCACCGACGAAGGGGAAACCGATGAGTTGGCTGAACAAACTGTGCTATCTTGCTCAGGGCTTCACAACCACACCTCAGACATCGATACAGTATGCCAAGATTCACTAAAAATTGTACATGGTATATTCTTAAAACTTTAAAACATGAGAAGTTCAAGAATACAAGCAAACGACCGGCGAATCAATAGCTGAATAAGATATGCATGCAAGCCATAGGGGGATCACGTTAGTTAGTTCAAAATCGATAAATCAATCAAGATTTTCCGATCAAAACTACAACCGCCTCCAGTAAGTGTAACATTTTGCTGCTTGTAACTAGTATTACAAAGGATTTCACGTACCTTTTGCCTTTCCAGCACGTACACATCCGGTTCAGGGGATACAAGCTGCTTATTTGGTTCCAAGCCAGGAACATTCTTGTATTCAAAATCTCCGAGAGCTCTGAAAGCAATTCCGTTCATCCAATAGATGATTTGTCGCAATATTAATAGGCCAATGCACTTTATGTTTTTAGAAAATCTGCTCGCAATATTTACGAACAACAAGCGTACAATGGAAAAAATGACGCTCTCATAACACTCTTCGATTGTGAAAAATGACCGCCCGTGAAAAATGGCCTGTTTTACTGAATGACGACAACCACACTGTGATGAAGTTCGAAAGTCTCTTAATCACAGTGAAATTCGATCTCGTCAGTGTTGCTTCAAGATCACACTCATTATGATAGTGTTGGTAGAATGGTTATTTTAAAGACAACGTTCACGATAAAAGTGGTTTCTGAGATTCCTCACAGGGTGAATTAAGACTCCGCGTATACAATATGTGGCACTATTAGGTCGGAAAACGGCCTAGTTAGGGAGTTATAAAGGCTCAAAGATTGCATCGAGTGTATCCTCTTAAAAGGCTGCAGCGATCAGAAGGGAACCCCCCATGTTATTTCCGTCATTGCAATCTCGTCCAACCCCTATATTCCCTACTTTTGAGTAGCCATATTTCTCTCGAAGTCGGCGAATTCTCTCGCTTTCTTTACTACGATGAACTATTCCCAATCTATACTTCCGCTTTTCGAATAAAAACATGTGCCTCAAAATAACCGTGAACTGTGCCTTTAAGTAGAGGTAAAAGTGGTGGCTAGATGCTGCTCATTTCCAGGAGCTTTCATATATGATCTTTATAACAAACCAAAGATAAAACTTTGTGGAAAACGACTTCGATGTACCTGCTAACTGCCAAACTGCCATTTATTCTCTGGATCATAACGGATCCACCTGCACCCACAATTCGTTCTCGCTCCTTATCGTGGTAAGGCTAAAAAATAAGCACTGATTAATATATCGAACAACCAAATAGAAACAGGAATACGAAGCCAAGGGGGCATTTAAATCAAAAAATGAAAACCAAAAGAATAGATGAACAGAAAGAGAAAAAGTCATTTGGTCAGTAGAAATGAACCTTGTGGTCCTCTGTTCCGAACGATCCTTCGTCTTTACGGGAGACAACAGCTCGAGAATCACCTGAAAGTACTCATTGCTAAGTAATTGAATGTGGTCCAGTAGGACTAATCAGGGCCGATCTTTTTGGGAGATATCGTTTACTGATTGGTTAGAGGAAGTTTTCCTAGAGCAATTCAAAAGCCATCTTCAGTAGGCATATTTTCATGACTCCTTATTCGAACTGACTTCTTTTCCTATTTTGGAATAGTATAGTCTTTATATAGTCTTTCATTAAAGCCGTTTACTGTGACCGTAATATGGGAGATGCCCTGTTCATACATCAACAACCTGGGGCCGTAAGGTATTCTCCTGTTCGGGGCTGGGACGCCCCGATTCGCGTCTCTCTCTCTGCTCTCCCCGAGAGCAAGCCTTACCGGGAAGGGGACCCTCCCCTGTTCGGGGGAGAATTCCTTATGCCCCTGAAAGCAACGAGGGCTACAAATCTACCGGCAACTGTTAAGCCAAGCTTTTCATCGTATCACTGAATAGCGGCAACGTACTGCGGAAAAGGCTATGGTGCAGTGGTTGAATTGTTTCTGACTGATCCATCTACACCCTGCATTTTAAAAAAAAGTTTCTCCATTTAGAAAAAAAAANAAAAAAAAACTTACCTAGATTTGCGATGATGATGTGCGTTGGAGTAATCATAGCGCAGACAGCTGTTGAACCACTGCGATCCTAAATCATATCAACGATACTTAAAACTTCAGTGCAGTCTTTCCGGTGAAAAAGGATAAGAAAGACATACAGAGTCTAGCCTGGTACGGATGTTTTCATCCAACTTGAGAAACCCGGCTTTGATTCCATCTTCGAGCAGTACGATGGATTTTTCGCACAAAACTCCTCCAGTGGATTTTAGCTCTTCTGTGACCTTAATATTAACAATTATTTGTAACTCATTATGACGCTGCCATCAAATTTGCTGCACAAGGTGCGATAGACATAGGCGGACCTTTTCAAATTGTGGAGTTTCCATAAGAGTCCTCATAATGTTTTCAGCAGCATCATCTGCTGCAACGTTACCTGCATGTCCATCAAATACAGCAAAAAATGACCAGTCTTTATAAGGCTCACGGTCTGCCATAGAAACCTGAGTAGGTGAAAACATTAATGCCAAAAACCATGGACACTAGTAAATGCAACAGTAAATTCAAATTCGTAGCTTAGAAAAGAAAAGAGATTCAATAAATGAGTTGCAAATATGAAGTTTTTAACATACTTCCACCACATGTGCATCTTCCATATCCACCCTCCATCCTTGCATACTGGCCATAGCATAGCGGAGACCCTTAAATTACAGTGGCTTCAACGAATGGAGAATTACTATTAATCTAACGCTGCTAAAAANAAAAATATTTCGATGGTTTTCATTTCAAAATGATTAGTAAAAATATAGAAAATGCAGCTTTTTCCCTAGGTTACTGTCAGATTGTTACAACAATGAAGGAACTGCTGTCGTTATGATGATTACATTCTTGCAATGATGTAGAAGAGAAGGGAAGTTGAATCTTAGGAGCATTCAGGAGAAACCGCTATTACCTTGTGCTAAACATTACTGTGTGAATGAAGGAGCCGACATCGCAACGCGATCTAGTGAAGGATAGCGTGACGATATTCAACCACTAATATTACCGTGTTGGACAAATAAAAACTGTACATACTGCACTTGGAACCAACCTAAGATGGAACAACCCAGGAAAATCCCTAATTGAATAAGCTAGTTTAAGGGATTAATGGTAAAATAAAGCACCTCGGAGAGCCCGGAATGAGGAAAAACGATTAAGTAAGCGAGCCAGTGCTCACAGCCAGTTGGCTAAAAGAAGAACAAACTACCAAAGTCTGTCGATCCCAGCGATCTTATCAAAGATTTTAGCAGCTGCCATGACTTGAACCAGGTGATTTATAACACTAAACCATGTGAAACCATATTAGAAATATTCAGATATCAGAATATGCATTGCATAAACCAGTTCTTTGCTTTCTAGAGAACTACTTTGAAGAATGACAAAAAATAAAACAAAAAAGCAAAAATAACATTTCAAAAAAACCCACATTGCCTTCGCCGGAGCAATTGGTCTTTGCCGTTTTCGGTTTGTCCAGAAACGCTCCCATTTGAGCTCTATTCTGTTCAGTTATCTCCACTAAACCAGACGACGTCAACCGCCACGTTCGAAGCGCAGGGCGTGGAGTAAGGGTAATCACTGTAAGTTGCGGTTTCTGTTCTTCTGCGGCAGTTTCAGATCGAAGCGATGCGCCTAGACAAGATGACATCCCATATTCTCTGAAAATGGCTACATGCTGACAGAAAAGGGGTGCACTTACGTTGAAATAGTGAGTGAAGTGAGATCAGACTGGTGGAGTTTGTTTGCCTAAGAACGAAAACTGATGCCAGTTTCTAGCGTTATTTTGGACTATTTCTGTGCAGAAAAGTGTGTAAAAAGAAAGAAAAAGCAAGGCAATGCTGAAGAAGATGATGTGATTTTGCAGTAACACAAACACTTTTGCCCGAAGGTCTGCACGTCCGAAAGCCTCGATATGATTTCATAGTGCAACAAAAAAAATGTGATCGGCCTATGAGACACCTAACATCCTACAACCCAAATCAGAAAACCAAAAAAATCAGAATTTAGAATTGCAAATGTGGGCGTTGTGGAATTCATACGGTTATCAGAAAACCGTATGAATTCCTCCAACGCCCACATTTGCAAGTTCTAAATTCTGCAGCATTTAGTCTCCAAAGCTTCTGGTAAGGTCATTTTCACCTCTTTTCATCAGAAAAAAGACCGCGAAAAGGAAATAAAAGATAGTTGTAGTGAGATAATGCATTGTCCTGAACACTATGATGGTTGGATAGCGGGCGAGGTGCAGTGCTAGCAAGTAGCGTTAGGAGCATATTTAAAATCACTGAACAACTTTTCTAGGGGTGAAAGCTCAAATAACGATGGTGAGATCGTGAAAACAGCTGGACCATGATAGAGCGCCAATGGAGTGACCAGAACATCTCCATGATCATAGATCTTCTTCTGCTCCTCGACATCGTACTCCAAGCAGGGTTACAGTACAGGACTGAAACAGCTCCATTACCGAACCAATTTCCACCCTCTACAAAGGCGCTGGTACAAGACGGAGGAAAGACGCTGAGAATCTGATATCAGTTCGTCATTTCCAATCCCATTTTTACCTCTACTTCCTGCTGCATTGTAGATTCAGGCTGCAGCTCATTTTTAACAGTGTGACAAAGTGTGACGGCAGTAGCGGTCACTGGAGTTTCCGTGAAAAATGAAAGTGCATGACAGTGGATCGCAAGAGAGGACGAGCACCCGAAACATTCAATAACATTTCATCTCTACTCATCCTCCATCGAGGAATTTGCATACCACTGGCAATTGTTCCTATTAATATCCAATGAGGTTCCAAAAGTGGTAATCGAAGCAGTCTATGAGGCTCGCCTTTTCTCTACCAACGAACTCACTGGGTTTCGGAGAAACATCGGTCGAGGACTGAGGAAGCAATCGCGTCAGTCTCAGGAATGGGGACGAGCAGCAACGATGGGAGCTGATAGCGAGAAAAACCAATGGCTGAAGGGAGAAAGGCCCAGACTGGGGGCATTTGAAACGTCATGCACTTCGTCCATCAAATCGTACCTCCCTCCATTTGGAGCAAAACCTTAATTGCAGCATGGCATCAGCATGGACGACTATTGCCTCCGCCTCGGGAAATAAATTGATCGCATGACGATTTCAGCGTCAAGTACGTGCCGCTGCAAAGTTTCATTGAGATAAAAAGACATCCTGGGTTCCCACAGGCTCTCACATGCTACAAGCATGCTTACCACATGAACTATTCACACTTCGGGGATGATTTGTGACCGAACATAACGAGAATTTAATGTCTGAGTGCGACGAAATGTGATATGCGATAGGTAAATGAGTGGGCACCCGAATGGTCTTAGTTCAAACCACAAATGATTGCATAAGTTCTATGACGTCAAAACAATCAATAAATAAAAATCCCAGTAAAAACCCTGGTTCGAAAGATTATAGATACGTCCCCAGACTTGCTTCCATTTGCACTCTCACGTAGGGAACGCCTAAGGGCAAATCTAAGAGTATGGCTTCGCTATAGGATTGTCCCATTAGGCTCAAATCTCCTTGTCGTTGACACAAAGCTAGCGCGG